AGGAGCAGGGAGCTTGATGTCAAGCTGCCAGTTGCCTTTGACTCCGGGCTAAGCAAAACAGTCATTTCCTTTGAGCCACTGACTGGCCATCTTTTTGTTCTGTAGGGCCCTTCTTATTTCTCAGTGATTTAAATAATTATTGATAATATAGTCATCTGAACAGCTGATGTGATCTGGATGGTACCTATCTAAAGGTGCATCTCCATTGTAGAAAGAATACAGCTCGATGCTGCTTTAATATCTGTGGCTCAATCTTCTGGAATCAAAGGAGTTATAGTTCAGTGAGTTGTTATTGTTATTATTATTATTATTATTATTGTGTATAACCTACTTTTATCTCTTGATTGAGACATATAACACCTAGCAACATTTAAAAACCTGCAATTTAAAATGCAAAACATACAAATATTATTGGGAAGCCTGACTTGGTCACAATAGTACATGCTGTCTTTACATCTCGAATAGATGACTGCAATGCATTCTACATGGGGCTGCCTTTGAAGACTGTTAGGAAGCTTCAAGTAGTCCAACGGGTGGCAACCAGATTTCTCACCGGAGGTACAGGGAGCATACAACACCTCCACTGTCCAAGCATAATTCAAAGTGCTGGCTTTAGCCTATAAAGACGTTACCAGGCCCGGCCCAGTTTACCTGTCCGAACGTATCTCCCTCTATGAGCCAGCTAGGCAGATAAAATCTTCTGGGGAGGCCCCGTTCTTGGTCCCACCTCCTTCACAGGTGCAACTGGTGGGAACGAGAGACAGGGCATTTTCAGTGGTGGCCTCTCGGCTTTGGAAGTCCCTTCCTAGTGAAATTAGATCAGCCCCCTCCCTCCTGACCTTCAGGAAAAGGCTAAAGACGTGAATGTAGGATCAAGCTTTTGGTTTGTAACCCACTAGAGAATATGGAATAGTGCAGTGACAATTTGGAATGGCCATGGAGTGTGATTTTGGATAACATGATTTTAAATAAGTGGTTTTAAAGTTTGACATGTTTTTAATTATTATTTTCATGGATATGTTTATTTTACTATGTATGTTTGCATGTCATTGAATAGTTGCCTATATATGTAAGCTGCCTTGAGTCTCCTGCGGGGTTGAGAAAGGCGGGGAACAAATACAGTACATAAATAAAATAAATAAATATTGAGATAATTATTAAACATACAAATCAATTAAATTCACTTAAAACATTGTAAGGATTGTAAAAAATAAAATAAAATCAAATACAGCAGCATCCCCACCCCGGTTCTCCTATAAAAACTTTCCTTCTTAAAAGGACTACCCGAATAAAAATATTATACAAGATGTTTAACTTTTTCTGTCATCACTTTTGGGCAAAGAAGGCTAAAGACCGTGTAAAACTAGAACTCCCAGGATTCTATAGCATTTAGTCATGACAGTTAAATTGATGGATCCCCTGGTGGCGCAGTGGGTTAAACCTTTGTGCCAGCAGGACTACTAACCCAAAGGCGCATGTGTAAAACTAGTATTTTAGTCATCTCTAAGCTTGGAACCCACCTTTTAGACATATGAGGGACCAAATGATGTTTGGCTCTCAGTGCTCACCGGTTTAGTGCCCTGGTGGTGCAATGGGTTAAATCCTTGTGCTGGCAGGGTTGCTGACTGAAAGGTTGATAGTTCGAATCTGGGGAGCAGGGTGAGCTCCCATCTGTCAGCTCCAGCTTCTCATGAGAGAAGCCTCCCACAGGATGGTAAAACATCTGGGCGTCTCCTGGGCAATGTCCTTGCAGATGGCCAATTCTCTCACACCAGAAGCGACTTGCAGTTTCTCAAGTAGCTCATGACATAAAAAAAAAAAAGTTAAAGTGGTGTGAAACTGCATTAATTCAGCACTGTAGATGCAGCCCCTGACCTCCTCCCTCCTCTCTCTCGCTCTTGCTCTCTCTCTCTCTCTCTCTCTCTCTTTCCATGTAGCGTGTTTGAGAGAGAACCATTCACACATGAAAGAGATATATTTTGATGGCAATCTGCATTTTCCTGTTCAGGATGTCTCCCCCTCCCTCCCCCCACTTTGGATTAATGGTAGAAAGTAGAAAGTACTTTTTACCACGTGACCTCTTGATCTCCTTTTATGAGTTGTGCTTAGAATATGGAGATAGAAGGTAGTGGGTGAGGGTGTGTGTGTGTCAGTTTTCAGGTGGAGCAGTTGACTGATCTACACAGAGTGTGGACTGTTAGAAGATAGATTAGAGCAAACTGGGCCTGAACTCTTTTGAGGAGGCAAGATGACTAAACTGAGACCAAACATGAGATGACAAAACCCGTTAGAAAAGACAATGCTTGGGTGGGAGGTTGTAGTAGAAGGAAAACACCATATTACACAAGGATTGAGTCAGTCAATTAAACCTCATTCTTGAATATGCAAGACATGAGATGATGATTTTTTTGTGTGTGTCAGGAGCGACTTGAGAAACTGCAAGTCGCTTCTGGTGTGAGAGACGTCTGCAAAGACGTTGCCCAGGAGATGCCCGGATGTATGATGTTTTACCATCCTTGTGGGAAGCTTCTCTCATATCCTCACATGGGGAGCTGGAGCTAACAGAGGGAGCTCAATCTGTTCTCCCTGGATTCGAATCACTGACCTGTCGGTCAGCAGTCCTGCCGACATAAGGGTTTAATCCATTGTGCCACCAGGGGCTCCATGATGATGATGAGAAGTAATTTTATTTCTTACCTGCCTCTCTGCATGACTCGAGACGGGACACAATATAGTTTAAAATACAACATTCGGTAAAATAGAGATGTTGGTATCTGGGGTTCAGGAGGTCCCTCGTTTATAGAATTTCCTCCCATCAGTCAATGCCAGCTTAATAGCAAACAACTACAACATGTTGACCTAAATTGAAAGCAACCAACCTGGTTCTGGCTTCACTGTAATTGTTTCTCTTGTGAAAGTGAACAAAATACATTTCTAATGCAGGCGTGGGTAAGCTGTGGCCCTGTAGTTGTTGCACTACAGATCCCATCATTCTTGCACATTGGTCAGGTTGGCTGAAACTGATTGGGTTTCAGCAGCGTATGGAGGGCTGCGTGTTTAGCACCCGCCTGGCCAAAACACCAGTTCTGAAATAAGCCCCTCCTAATGCTTTGGGGCTTCTGGCATGCTGCAGAAATAATGTTTGGTTTGGTAAAGCTTGGGATAGACAAACAACAATTGCACATTTGATCTTGCTTTATCAAATGTGAGCAGACGCTTTATGAATCTGGAATAAACTTGCATTCCTAATTTGAGAGAGATTTTATTGTTGCTATCAAAAAAATCTGTTTGCAGACAGTGTGGATCAAAACACCAGGAAACAATCCTTGAGTACTTTGCGACGACAGATATCTGAAAATGAAGGACTCTGCAATCAGCATCTTTCTTAAAACAAAACAGAACCTTTGTGTGGTTCAGAGGGCAAATGGACTGGAAAACATTATGGCTTGTTTCAGGAGGTTCTCCTGCGGCTAAAGCAGTGCTCAAGGTAGCATGTAACAAGAAAAGCTACAAAAAACAAATATCCTATTATAATGCTAGTTTAGCTCATTATTTTTTCCAGAGCTGTTGAAACCTAGGAACTTAATCTGACAAATACTATTAATAATTAAAATTATCTTGAAGGGTCAGTGAAGAGATGCTACCCCAGAGGTGCATGGGAATCCATTAAATAGAATACCTTTGAGGGGTGTTTTTTTTTCCGTATCAGGAGTGACTTGAGAAACTGCAGGTCACTTCTGGTGTGAGACAATTGGCCATCTGCAGAGATGTTGCCCAGGGGACGCCCAAATGTTTTGATGTTTTACCATCCTTCTCTCATGTCCCCGCATGGGGAGTTAGAGCTGATAGAAGGAGCTAATTCAAGCTCTCCCTGGATTCGTACCTGCGATCTGTCAGTCTTCAGTCCTTCCGGCATAAGGGTTTAACCCACTGCGCCACCGGGGGCTCCAGTCCTTGCAAATGTCTTCAGGGGAACAGTATTTGTGTTTGCTGAACTTATAAGACAGAAGTATGAATACGCTGAAAGCCATATGGACTACATTTGGTGTCAACATAATAGTGCTCCAATGCAGTGGTCATTATGGCAGAATTAACATGATTGGTAGTTTGCATATCTTGAGAAATTCCCACCCTGGACATTCCAAAGATATATAAACCCCACTTACCTAGTTTCCAACAGACCTCGCAACCTCAGAGGATGCCTGCCATAGATGAGGGCAAAACGTCAGGAGAAAATTCTTCTGGAACATGGCCATACAGCCCAGAATACTCACAGGAACGCAGTGATTCCGGCCATGGAAGCCTTCGACAACACTTTGTGACTTCTGTTGTCTTTGAAACCACTTGTGAAGTTTGTTTTAAAAAAATTGAAAAATGAATTCTAGGTGGCAGCACGTGTTTGTATGGATAGATCATAACTACCAAATCTATCAGATGAATTCAGTGCAGGGCTTGGAAAATTGCATATCATAACAAGAATGCATATCCTTGGCACCTTTTTTCAGTTTGTGTAAAATTTGTTCAGATATTTAATGTTTATTTTACTTAAGTGATATTTGTCTTGACTGTTCTAATGTAGCACAAATCCTATGTAAAATCATACTACGTATTTTTGACATTAATATTGAAATCTGAAATATATACAGAAAGTCTTTTGAAAACAAACTCCACATTTTCATTATATGTGTGTGCTGGATTGATAGATTGTTGAATGCTCTAGATCAGTGATTCTCAACCTGTGGGTCCCCAGATGTTTTGGCTTTCAACTCCCAGAAATCCTAACAGCTAGTAAACTGGCTGGGATCTCTGGGAGTTGTAGGCCAAAACACCTGGGGACGCACAGGTTGCGAACCACTGATCTAGATTATTAAGACCATATCCTCAAACATCTTATTTACATTAGTGAAGTATCTACTGTGTGTGGCTTTCTTTAAAAAACACAGTGCTCAAAGTTTCTGTCATTTTTACCATAGATGACTTTTGTTTCTCTTCTAATAAAGGTACGAACACTCTTTGTCAGTGGCCTTCCTCTGGACATCAAACCCCGGGAGCTCTACCTCTTGTTCAGACCATTCAAGGTAATTTTTTTCTGTTATAGATTCCTAAAGAAGTGCTGAGATGGAAGCACCAATATATTCATTTGTATGGATATTTGTGGTTCTCCTTTCGGTTATAAATGATCGATTGCCACAGTAATATGTTCTTCTAGAGAGCCACACAGAAAGTCAGTTTTCTGGATATCTGGATTTTAAGCACTTAGATGAAGACTAACATAGTATCATATTTCAAGCATGAACTTGGCTAAGAAGACTTTCCCATGAACCAAATGTTGGCCAAGAGCCCAAGCAGAGAATAAGAGCAAATGTCATAGCAGGGTGATTAGGGTGACAAGTTATAAATACTAACCTCTAATGATGAATTCAGATTTTGAATAAAATTCAAGAAGGCCTACATGCAGTATGTTTCATGGTAAGCATTCTGCAAACCTGGATGGACCTTCTGGTTGCTGTTTGAAGCCTACTTTAGGTAATAGCAGAACCTCCATAGTCCCACATCCCTTTCCTTCCTGTGCATTGCTTGGATGTGCTTTTGCTGAAGTCATCGTCCCTCTTAGTGCAATAAATGTCACATTCAAGGTTTTATTACTAGATGGTGAAATGTCTCATCTTTACACATCATACTTTAATAAACATTATGAATTATTTACTGTGTGTAGGATTATTTATCTCTCTAATGCTAAAGTGCTTTAACTAACTTCATGGCTCTCTTTCCCAATTTATTTTTGTTGGGTGGGGGGGGGGCAACATCAGTGCCACTTTCCTATACTTTGTGGCACTTCAGATGCAGGTATGGTACATTCCCCTGTTTGGAGACAAAATGTGTGCATTTATATCTTGAGCTGCTTCTAGTCATCAGAATGTCTTGGATTATTGTGTCTGTTTAATGTGAACACTTCAGGTCATGTTAAATATACTGTAACAATTTTAATCCCAAAGAGAGAGCGAGTCTAAATATCTTCATTTTGACTTGCATCCTGGCATCCCTCGAATACTTGTTCTGGCAGAACTGTTTTGGGAAAGCATCAGTGACTATTATTCTGCTCTCTGCCCTCATCTCAGAACTGTTTGCATGCCTAGCAAACACACCTCACATTAAAGAAAATGACAAAACCTGTCACATTCAATAAGCTTGAAACCAACATCAGTGCATTATACAAAGATGAGCAATAACCAGCGAAGATAGTTCCTGTCTGAGACAGACGGTATGGCATTTGGGGAAGTAGGGAAACAAAAAGAATTCTAAAGGACTGAAGTGACAGAGGAAGTAGAGCACACGGAGGAGGAAACTGAGACAAATCCACTAATTAAATGTGAGCTCACACTGAATGTAACGACAGAAACAGCTAACATAATTCTGGGCAGCATCAACCAAGTATCATGTCTTAAACTTCTACAAGATGAAATGAGTCTTGGATTTGAAGACAATTTTCGGCTTGCTGTCTAGTTTGCTTAAAGAATTGCTAATGTTAAATAATGATAGGTTGTTGCAGTTAGATTTGGATGGCATGCCTTTATGTGGTACAATAAGTTACAAGTCAATACTGATTTTAAGAATCACTTTGTTAGTGACATGAGATTTTGAGAATTTGGAAAAGGTACAAACTCCAGGTGTGTCCCAAACACCATTGTAGATAGAGATTCACAAACCTCTTAAACTGTCGTATTCTGTACCATCAAACCTCCTTTATAGCTAAAAAGTTCATAATAAACCTTCTGATCACAAAAAAGTAACTTGAAATCTCTGATCGAAGTATTCGTTCCAGTGTGCATTTTGTGTATTTGTCCCTTCTAAGACATGAGATTTGCTACTGTGAGAAACAGATTGAATGGACTAGATGGACATTTGGTATTCTCTACCAAGGCTATCTTTGTGTTCCTAGATTGGGAATATCATAGTTTGAAAGGGATGCAACATATATGTTATCATCCCTTTTGGAAATACATGACTTTATAGAGACCATAACCTTTTGGAAAACCAGGAATCTCCATAGTGTGACCCTTTTGGAGGTGAATTGGCATTCACACTATTTGGAATAAGCATAACCTTTTTGTAAAGTATGATCTTCCTAAGAAGAGTTAAATACATGTTTTAGTGAATCTTCTTCTTAGTGGTAAACATCAACTAGTATTCATGCAAGGCAAATTAGGCTTCTCGGTTGTTAGACCGATATCTCTCTGAACTGCCAGGAACAAAGATATGCCAAATGCACAAAATATATAGCAGATTTTCAGACGTAGTATTTCAGTTTTCCAAAAACCATCTATTCTCCCATAAATTATATTGTTTTTAAATCATGCTCTCAAGAGACCAAAACGAGATAGTCTTTGTTAAAAGTAACATAGCTGATTTACTTACAAACTTCATGTATTGAGCATATAGATGCATTTCTTATTGGTTGATTGTTTAAACAATCTGTTCTCTACAGCATTCTGTCTAAATCTGTTCTGTGTTGCATCAGACTAACACTCTCTTTAGTCTAATACATTACTGAACATTGACTCTAAACAGACTGACTATACACTGCAGTATATTGAGACTGACTACAGTAACACAGGCAATTGCATACTGTACTGAGTGACTTCTAAACTGTACTGCACTGACTTCTAAAATGGAGTCTCAGTCTGAATAGTCCCAGATCTGTGTGTATATATATTGATATTTGCAATCCTTCCCACAACCTCAAACAACATAGAGTTAAGGGAAACCTTATATCAATACACACACACACACACACACAATATAGTAAGCAATAACAATTATATACATAACAAATAACTAGTATAGGAGACTTGTAGAAGGTTGTTATTTCCAACAATTCCATTCAAAGTGGAAAAGTTAAAGTAGCAGAAACACATTTACACTGAAATATTTGTGTGATGCTTTCAAATTATTCTGTGTGTTTTCATAGATTTAATCCACTGTAGATCATCAGATTTTGGATAAAAGCAGCAAAGGTGGCTTCTTTTTCTATTGTCAGTAAGCCATACGACATACCCACTCAGTCCTTTTTTTTTTGATGAGGTGACAAATCACTCAAATAACAATAGAATATATTACAATGTTGTTATAGATTTTTATTTATTTAAGAATCTTTTCCCATTTGGTACAATACATGTTTTTGTTTCTTTCTGCAGGGTTATGAAGGCTCTCTTATTAAACTCACATCCAAGCAGGTAAGCTTATGAAGCACTGAATTGCTTAACATAATTCTCTCCAGTGCATCTTTATATTGGGAATGGCTATAAACAGTAGATCTAGTATTACATTTTGGCACAAAGTTTCATAAACCAGCAATGTTCTGATAGTAAAATCTCCACCAGTTTGTGGGCCAGTATACATTTGTAGAGTTTAGCGGAGATGTCAGAAACATCAGTTAGGACTATACAGTTGTCAGCTGAATAAAGCTTATGTAGTTGATGACGTGCCTTGGTGGTTAAATAAACATGCAAAGAATCTAACGATAGAAATGACAAAACAGTCTTCACTTTTACTCCTTTCACTTGGTATGTTATGTGTTGGGTGGGATTGTGCCTGTTGACCGTGTCCCACCCCAGTTTTGCTGTTCTGGGTATTTGTGAGCAGTATTCTAAATGTGACATTTCCAGGCATTGATTGTAACATATTAGTGCATCATTCAATTAATCTGCTCAGTTAGCGAAGCAAACTAGTACTTAGTACTGACCTTTCTTTTACTCTCTTCCAGCCTGTGGGCTTTGTTAGTTTTGACAGTCGCTCAGAAGCAGAAGCTGCTAAGAATGCTTTAAATGTAAGTACCTGGTAACCATTACTCACACTTTGTTACATTGGAACTTTAATAGCTGCAGAACCGTATTTTGTACTTCTGCATCACCTAAGGTTGATGATAGGAACTCCACTTTGAATGCTCACCCCATGTACTTCTGCATGGAAAGAAGGGATGTGCAGAAGAAATGGGCTCTAGGGAGGGACTGTGGAGCAGGTGTGGGCAAACCCAGACCCCGGGGGTTGGATGCGGCCCCTTGGGCTCTTTTCTCAGGCCCTCCTCTCTCTCACTATCATATCCTTCCTTCCTTCTCTCTTTCCTTCCGCCTTCCCTCCCTTCCCCCTCCTTCTTTCTCCCTCCCTCCTTCGTTACCTTTCATCCTTCCCTCTTTCCTCCCTCACCCTCTCTCTTTCTCCTTCCTTCCTTCTTTCTCTTTTGTCTTTCCTTCCTTCTCTCTTTCCTCCTTCTCTCCATTCCCTTCCACCCTTCTTTCCTTCCATCCTTCTCTTCCTTCTTTTTTCCTTCCTCCTTTCCTCTTTGGGGGATGTTTAGTTGGGAAAGTAGAAAGGGAACATGAGAACAATGTTTCAAGATTTCAAAGGGTGTCCCATTGAGGAGGAGAAAGGGGGAAACTGACTTTCTGCTGTGCTAGAGACCAGGGCACAAGGAAGCAATGGTTTCAAATGGCTGGGAAAGAGATTCAACTGAAAAGGTTGAACTTCCTAAGAGTAAGAGCTGTTGGAGGGTTGCATAGACTGTCTCAAAGTGTGGTGGAGTCTCCTTTTCAGGAGGCTTTTCCACAGAAGCTGTCTATTGGGAGTGCTTTGATTGTGCCTTCTTGCATGGCAGGGGGTTCGACTGTATGGCCCTTGGGGGCCTCTTCCAGCTCTAGAATTCTAGGATTCTATATCAGGAGTAGGCAATACTTGTTCTAATGGATACACTTTTTCCTCTCCCATTCACCATCTTATCCTGATGAACCCTTTGGGATCCAAATGTTTCCTGTCTTTCCTTCATTTTTTGCCTTTGAAAGAGAAGAGGACGGGGAGGAAAGGGCAAGGAGGGCACTTGAAGAGAACACCCTATCTCCCAGCCCGCCCACCCCACTCCAGCCGGGGTTAGAAAGTTAGAAGTTTGCCCATGCCTGATGTGGAGTAATCTGCATTTAAGAGTAACGCCGTTCACAGCAGGTCCCATTAAACACAGTGGAGTAAAGTTAATAGGACCCTGAGTTTAGGAGGAAACATCAGCTCAGACACTGCATTGGTAAATGAGGGGTAAATGTACATTTTTGGCAATAAAATCAAACGGTTGGTGATTGTTTCCATGGTGGTTGTGGTGGAGTGAAAGCTCAGCAAAGGTAAGAGCTGTAATATTACTAGAATGGTCCTACAAAACACCCCTAGATATTGTAAATCATTCATCTGGTCTACTCCAAAAATAAACCAGTTCCACCAGCTATGGTTTAAAGAGAGTTATAGGGCTCACTTGTTAATATATATAATTGTTTATCAGCCAGTATAAGGAATGTGATAGATCACCCTTTGAATCCACCAAGCCCAGAAAACAAATTGCTGAAAAAATAGGTATGTATTAGTTTATGGGGAGCCCCTGGTGGCGCAGCTGGTTAAACCGCTAAGCTGCTGAACTTACTGACTGAAAGGTTGGCGGTTCAAATCCAGGGAACGGGATGAGTTCCCACTGTTAGCCCCAGCTTCTGACAACCTAGCAGCTCAAAAACATGCAGATGTGAGTAGAGCAATAGGTACCATTCCAGTGGGAAAGTAACGGTGCTCCATGCAGTCATGTTGGCCACATGACCTTGAAGGTGTCTATGGACAACAGCGGGTCTTCGGTTTGGAAATGGAGATGAGCACCATCCCCCAGAGTCAGACACCACTGGACTTAATGTCGAGGGGAAACCTTTACCTTTACCTTTTATTAATTTATGGAAAATCCAAAGAAAGTAGCTGTTACTATAAATAATACAAATAAATAATGGTTACAATAAATTAATATCAGATCTGACTCTCCTTTTCTTCTAAAATATTCTCTCCAGATCCTTCTGTTCTAATCAACCAGCTGCCTCTAATCCTCCTCACTCACTTGCTGACTTTCTGAACTGATGCATATGCCACCTATTGTTTCATTCAGCCCTCGAGGGCTGACAAGAGATGGAGGAAGCCAGTGCTAATTACTGGAGTCTGGTTGTCTGGAAGGGGGTCTGGGACCTCACTTTGTTTGTATCATTATTTGTAGATTATTACTTATATCTAGCGTAAAATTGATGAATTTTTAAAGAAAACTAACAATCTTCCTATTGATTGTGGCAAGGAACATAATAGTAAAATACAACAAGAGTTTGAAATGCTATTTTAAGATTTCTAGCCTTTAAAGATGAAAAAAATCTAAGACTTAATCAGGGTCTGTAGTGTTTTATGTATTTTAAATAGTTTGTAACCATTTTAAAGAAGTGACTGGCTTGACCTTATTGGAAATTACTGAACGAATAAACAACAAAAATGGTTTTAAGGGTTTTATTTATGTATTTTTAAATAGTGTTTGGTTTAATTCTGTTTTAATTTTTATAGTCTTTAAGTTTTGTATTGTTTTTAGCACTGTTTGTAACTTTGAGTCTCTGTTAAGAGAGAAAAAATGGCATATAATTAATTAATTAATACAATAAAAATAATTAACTCATCTCCAGTGGTGTCAACATTGCTCACAGGTGGGCCAGGAAAGGAAACTGATCTTCTCAAGAATCATATTCACAATTATCAAGTGTAAAAGAAAAGAAAAGGCCCAGAAATGCCTGGCCACACCAAAGCCACTCATTAGCATCCTTTGCCCATTGTTTATATCTGCTGGTAGCGCACAGGCTGCTTCCTTCACCAGGGTCCACATCTGCTTTCCACAGCCCTGCATTCCTCCACTCATCCTTCTGTCAATCTGCCCTTTGCTCCTTTCTTAGAACAGCTTGGTCACAAATGCAAGAGATTTCCAAAGAAAGCACAATGTTCCTTTCTGTCTGCCACCCCCTGCCCCTCATAGTGATGAGCATTTTCCTGTTCCAAGAGGGCAGAGAGCAGTTCTTTCTTCCATCCCAGGACTGAGGCACAAGAATATTCCTCCTTGGTTTATTCTGATATATAGATTTATACAGCATAAACCAGTATAAATCTTGCTAGCAGAATGTGAACAACCCAAATGCCATCCAAAAGAAGAAAAGGATATTGGTGTGTGTGCGTGCGCGCACACACCAACATCCTTTTCTTCTTTCGGATGGCATTTGGGTTGTTCATGTTCTGCTAGTAAGATTCCTGAGATATTGAGTGCACATAAAGTTCAGCCAAGTCTTAACATGCTTAAAAAATGGGATAGTCTGGTTTTAAAGGCTGTCACGGTGAGAAAGTAGATGTTCCAAAATGGGCTAACTTGGTTTAATAAATAATGATTCAATTCCATCAGTGGGTCAAAAAATACCACCCACTGTGTGAGCAGCCAAAGAAAAGCCAAGCAATTTTCATGTCTTCAGATGGACCTTACAGTTATTATATTCATTTATTTTATTTATATTCTACCTTTCTTCTAATATGAAACCCAAGGCAGTTCACATTAGTTAAGAAAGACAACACCCATAAATGAAAAAATAAAAAAGTAAATAAAAACACAAAAACGTGCTTTTTAAAAGTTACAAAAAAGTAACAAATAGCTATTAAATGCTTCCCAATGTAACAATGCACTTGCCTAGATGGGATAGATCTTTTAGTATAGAAAAGGATTGAAAATACAGCTCTCAGTGTCATCATGTCGCTTAAAAAAATATGTGGGGCAGCCGCATTTGGAAAGCTCTCTGCATTTCTGGTCACCACAAATGGAAAAGCGTTGGAAGAGGTCAACCAAAATGATGTGGTTGTGAGAGTACTCTTTTTACAAGGAAAACTTGCATTTAGTGTTACTTAGTTGAGGGGGAAAAATACATCTAAAAGGGAATACAATAGATGTTTCTAAAATCATGCACGGTGAGAGATATTGATTAGAAATATTTTTATTTCTCTCTTATAACACCAAGACTTGGGATCGTCTGATGAAAATTATTAGGTAGGAAATGAGAACAGAAGTAAAAAAGAGCTTCTTTATAGAAGATGTAATTAGCTTGGGATGTTTGCTATTTGAGGTGTTAGCAGTAGGTGGTAGCTTAGATGTCTTCAAAACTGGATTAGATAGAAATAATGTTTCTACTTGTCGGACTATATGTTTCCTCAGAGTTTCAGAGGTACCTCCATGGTAGGACTTGCACTATTAGTAGTCAAGGAACAATAACAAATGGTGACTGCCTTCACAATGGTTTTTGGGCTTTCAAAAGGCATCTGCTTGAGTAGTCTAGCAACATTTGGGATGGACAGACGTAGAGCTCCAAATGCTTGTGGACTGCATTTCCCAATGTGCTTCACATCAGCTTGTGCTGAAGGGAATGATAGGCCCAAAAAGATGTATTCCAGGGAACCTTCAAACTCTTCAGTAAGAATTTCTTAATTTACGATAAGATTCATAGATGCCCACCACTGATCTTAGTCTGCATTTCACAGTACTGAACTTAGCCAGATCTGCACTTGGAGTTTGTGAGAGGTTTCCAAAGCTTAACATATCTGGTGAGTGAAGACTGCAGAATGTGCTTCAGAATCATCCGTGATTCAGAGGAATATTTCTGCAGGATACGTTTGTGTCTCCTAGGAAGAAAAATGAATACTAAAGGCTTTTCTGGGAGAAATATTGTGTTCAAGCATCCATGCACAGCCAAAGAATCGACTTCAGTTTTGGCTTGAATAATAGAAATCCAAATACCTTGAACTAGTGTTGCAGAAAATAGTGGAAAAGTTCCAGTTTTAATAACGTGATCTAAATTTTTGTGGCTTTCTGAGAGGAAGGGGAGTCATCTCTGATTAATCTTGTCTTTTCAGTCAAGTACATACTGTCCCATGGATTACTTGTGTTGAACATGTTAATCGTGTACCGAATTGCTA